GCCTGCAGCCCCCTCCATCGTGGCGGCCTGCGGCCCCCTCCATCGTGGCGGCCTGCGGCCCCCTCCATCGTGGCAGCCTGCAGCCCCCTCCATCGTGGCAGCCTGCGGCCCCCTCCATCGTGGCAGCCTGCAGCCCCCTCCATCGTGGCGGCCTGCGGCCCCGGCTCGTGGCAGACCGTGGCGCCCTTCACTGTGACAACCTGCGGCCCTTTTGCTCGCAGCACTCGTGGCATCTCACAGCCCGCTCGTGGCGAAGAGCAGAAGTCTGGAGGGCTGTGGGTTTTGCGGTGCGTCGTTGCTCTGGTTGTAGGTTCCTTGGTTTCACGTCGGGATTCGAACGCTGTCTTTCAAAACCCGTATTTCTGGTTGTGACAGAAAAGGTGAATGCAGGTATTCCTCCAATTTTTGTGCCTCTCGCCCCGGCACATGAGTTGATTTATTTTGACAACAGCAGTTTTACCTCGTTTTCATACCACGTTGCCAAGTCGCTGGGTTTTTTCCCACAGCCTCTGTGCAGCTGACATCTCCACAAGTGGAAACGGGGGAAGGCAGAGCTTTTCCATCGTCTGCATGCAGACCCTCCGAAGGGTTTTCATTTCTGAAGCAGCTGCTGGTAAATACAGCTGTGCTGGGTCAGTATTAGAGCAACCTCCTGTTGCTTTTGCCTTGCAGCAGGTGATGATGAGCCAGCAGCTCCAATGTTAATCAGGTGCATCATTCTCATTCTTGGATTCTTCTTGGCTCATTTAAAGAGTGAAACAGGAAAAAAAAACCTCAAAAGGTGAACCTTAAAATAACTTTCCGCTTGGAGTCAGTCGTTAAACACTGCAAATTACATCTCTCAGAAGAATTTGAATACTTGAAAAGCATATTTCCGTTTGGGAATTAGACATAATGCTTCTTGTATTATCCACGAGCTATCATATAAACCAATTGGCAGTTTATACATCTTTCCTGTAGTGGAGTTGCTATATATAAAGTTGGCTTTCTTTCCACGGTGTCTGCTAACTTGCTAATTTAAGAGCTTAGACTCACAGTGTTCATAAAAATCACTATTTTCTCTAATGGAAGCCATATGGTAGACTCCTTTTTTGCTATATATTAAAGCCTGTGGAAGACAGTGGCTTCTAAAAGGTCAATTTATTGCATACTGCAGGACTTCAGTGTATTAACATGTACTCTTTCAGCCTGCTGGGTCGTGTTAGCAGCAAGGGGAATTGCGTTAAGGATTCCCCCAACTCTTAGTTAAATCTGTTTTGATGAATAATTGATCTGGCTGGTAATGGCTGCAGCCTGCTGGAAAGTGATGGAGCTGCTGCCCAGGCAGGTTGGCGTTTTCCTTGCTTTTCTATTTTGGGTGTCAGCTCAGAAAGAGTCAAGCCTCTTAAAAACCACGCGCAGAGCCTGAAAAAAGTGTTGTTAGAAGCCACCAGCTTTAAAAGTCCCGCTTCACCGTTGGTGTTTTTGTGTTTTTCAGTGGAGTGTTGTGCAGTAAGGTGAGGGATGAGAGCTGCAGGCTGTTGAACTTTGTCAGCCAAGAAGTGCTGTGTGCATCACAATGGATTATCTTCACAGCACTGGGGAGGCTCAGAAAACAAAGCTCTGGCTCTGACCTGAAGCGCTTGGCTTGCCTACATGCTGGTGGACATAACACAGCCTGACCTTCCATTTCCCTTTCCGAAGGGCAAAATGCTGTTTGTTTGTCTTCAGTCCCACGCTCCGTGTTCAGCGTGTGCGCTGTTATGGTGACCCTGCCCTTCGTTTTACAGCCAGAAATGCAGTTCTGGTTTTGGGAGCTTTGGGGAGGTTGTGCATCTGCAGCAAACAGGAGCAGCAGCTCCCTCTCAGCCCTCTGCCTGTCTGCTGTGTGCTCAGGAGTGTGCGAGTTTGTGACCACAGGCAGCAAGCCTGATGTGCTGGGTGCTTCATTTCATGGGAACGTTTCTTCGAATCCAAATCCTGGGCAGGAACGTAGCTCCAAATGTCGTGGGCAGATAGCCTAGCGTTACTTTCCAGGTGGGTGTCGTGGGAGCTGACTTGACATTTCTCTTGTATGATGGTGACCGCTTTCGATGCCTTCTAATCCAGGTAAAAACTGGGATCTGAGCGCAGCACTGAGTGACTTTGAGCAGCTACGGCAGGTGCACGCAGGGAATTTGCCACACTCCTTCAACGAGGGCCGCAGCTACAAACCCCCAGAGAAGGAGGCAGCCCGGCCCGGGCGACCACCGCTGCAGCGGCAGGATGACATTGTGCAGGGTAAGAGCCGTCAGCCACGTCAGTGGAGCAGTTGGAGGATTGTAGAGCTGCTCAGGTTGGAAAAAGATCGTAAAAAGACCTTAAAGATCAGCAAGTCCCTCTGCAGCCTAACCGTACTACCCTAACGCTAACAACCCTCTGCTAAATTGTGTCCCTGAGCAGCACATCCAAAGGCTTTTAGACACATCCAGGGATGGTGACTCAACCACCTCCCTGGGGAGCCTGTTCAAGTGCTTAACGACCTTTTCTGTATAGAAGTCTTTCCTGATATCTGATCTAAACTTACCCTGGTGCAACTTGAGGCCATTTCCCCTCATCCTGTCACCAGTGAGAAGAGACCAGCCCTGCTGTGCTGCAGTCACCTGTCAGGGATGGGCAGGGAACAATAAGGTCTCCCTTCAGTCTCCTCTTCCCCTGCCCAAACAGCCCCAGCTCCTTCGGTCTCTCCTCATAGGGCACGTTCTCCAAGCTCTTCCCCAAGCCTTGCTGCCCTTCTCTGGACCTTTCTGTACTGAGGTGCCCAAACCTGAACACAGAACTGGAGGTGAGGCCTCAGCAGAGCTGAGTACAGGGCAGGATGACTTCCCTATGTCTGAGTTGGAGGTGTGTTGGAGCAATTCAGCTTTCCAAAAAGCGCAAACTGAAGGCAGCGATTTTAGTAATGGCTTTGGTGAGGTTTGCTGCTTCTGCACCATTCGAGTGGTGTTTCGTTTTCCTTCCCCTCCCAGAAAAGCGCCTGTCTCGAGGCATTTCCCACGCCAGCTCCACCATTGTCTCCCTGGCCCGCTCCCACGTCTCCAGCAACGGCAGCAGTGAGCACCTGCTGGAGATGCCCATCTCCACCTTCCAGCTGCCCGACCTCACGGTGTACACAGAGGAGTTCCGCAGCTTCATCGAGCGAGACCTCATCGAGCAGTCAATGCTGGTGGCACTGGAGCAGGCTGGTAAGCAATTTACGCTCCCAAATTATTTCTTTTCCGTGCCAGTGCTGCACGGTGGTGGCAGTTCGCAGCGGCGCCGACTGGAACATGCTGGCATGTGTGCTGCGGGCTGCAAAGAACTGAGAGCAGGGATGTGTATCTGTGATAGATTTTATTTCGTCCCTTTTTGTAGCGTGGTGCAAGGGTTGAGCAAGATTCTGCTTCACTTTGCCTGCAGACACAGAATGCAAATTGTGTGTGTTGTCATCGCTCATGAATGGTGACACTGACAAAAACACCAAGTTGCATTATCTCACCACCTAAACCTCCCCATGCCCCATGCTGTCCCATCAGCCCTACTGCGAGAAGGGGGGGGGAAAGAAATGACTGCATAATGCAAAGAGCAGCGAATCATCTGGCCGGATATTAGAAGTGATTACAAATGTTTTAGGTGGATGATGCGTTTTATGTGCTTGCTAATTCAGTGCAGGAAAACTCGTCTGCTGGCTTTGTGTGTGCCTGGAGAGGAACCACGTCGTGAGCACGGACGGATTTGTTTTCCAACGTGCTGTTTTCCTCCTGAATAGTTGCTAGGTGATCTGTAAATAAGATTGGGCTGGTGAATGAATGGGACCTCCATGCTGGCAGGGAGGAGCCTCGTCCCTGTTACAGGGTGGTGCGTGGCTGGGGCAGGGTGAGGGCACCGGGCAGGAGCTCAGAAGCCTTTACATCTTCTGTCGCAGTGCACATACCTACAGAACTCCTATTCCTTCAGAGGGAACGTAGATTCTTAATCTCAAATTTTAGCCCTGTCCTGCTCAGGTGTTCCTGTAATAAATATTCTCATGTTTTGGAAATGAACACTTGATCCAAGCGATCTTGTTACGGCAGCATTGCTGTTTGTGCGTGGTGAACCTGGTGCAAATTGAAGCACTCTTATCTGCATCTCAGCAGAGTTCAGGCTGGGTATTGGATTGCTGCATTTTTGGCACAAACTCTGGCCAACAGCTATGGGATGTTTAGATCTGGTTTTCAGCACGGTTCCCTAAAACCGTAACCGCTGTGAATCCCTTCAGTGTACACATAACGCATCCAGCAGGTCCCTCTGTGACCTTGGTGGAAGAGGAGTGAGCTGTTGGCAGAGCAGGCAGCCCACCCTCAGGGGGAGCTGCGGCAGCCCCTCGGCTGTGCTCCTCTATGGGAGAGCTGGGGTGCTTCCCACAGGTAATGTTCAGTAATTGACTTTTACAAAGCGCCCTTTGAGGGCAAAATGAACCTGCATTAGAGGTGTGGGTTTGTCATAAATGGGTGTTTATCTTTAATAAAGGGCTGCACTGCGTATATGGGATGCTCCAAGCGTGATTTGAAGCAGGGTGTTGAGCACGGTGCTGTGATCTACGCTGATATCCCTTCTTAATTTAGTGTGTGCTGTCCTATGAGAATTAAGCAAATATTTTACAGACCAATAAACGTTAAGATACTCTTCTCATTCTATCCAGGGATCCCTTTACACCGCTGTGGCAGAGTAAGCGTGCTTAAAGTGGCTGTAAATTGTAATGACATCCTCTTGGAAAGCTTTTAATATGCTCAGAGCTCTGGAAAGGCCTTGGTGGAGCTGCGAATTTGGCCCTTGCCGCAACCTTGGGGTTCTTTGTTGCAAGCCTAAATGGCTTAGGCCTTGTCCTGTGTTCTGCAGATGCAGGGTGCTTTTCTTGTTCTGCACGCAGAGCAGCAGCGGGCAGCGCCTTGCCTGAGGCCATCTGTAAAGTCAGGAAGAGTGGAAAGAAACCCTAGGCTTGATTGCTGTGCCTTTGCTCTGAGGTCAGTGAAATGATGCCAAGCCCTTTTCCAAAAGTCCCCCCAGCGTGTTGGCAAGGAAACTTCTGCTTCTTTCTCCAGGCTGGCGCTGCAGTAAGCATCTGTAGGTGGACTGTTTAAAAACTGCTGAGTTAAGGATTCAGCCTCTCTTCCCTCAACGCTGGTGAACAAGTTCCTTGTTCCTGGAACGTAAGCATCCCGCGTCTCAAAGCAGGCAATCAAAGAAACCTGCACCCTTCCGTCCCTGCCTCAACCATGCATCACCCGGCTCCTGAAGCTTTTCAGCTGGGTTCAGCTCGTGCCTGACCAGAGGCACGTGTGCGCACGTACTCCCCGCTCTTACGCACTGGCATCTGACCTGCAAAGCTTCTGCAGATATTTCAGCCTCTCAGTCATTGGCCGCACTGATTTTTCTCAAGAGAATCACCGCATCACAGAATTGTAGGGGTTGGAGGGGAGCTGCAGAGCTCATCGAGTCCAACCCCCTGCCAAAGCAGTTCCCTACAGCAGTCGCACAGGTCGGCATCCAGGCAGGTCTTGAACATCTCCAGAGAAGGAGACTCCCCCACCTCCCTGCAGCCTGTTCCAGTGCTCCGTCACCTCACTGTACAGAAGTTCCTTCGCACATTGCTGCACAACTTCCTATGCTGCATTTCTGGCCGTTTCCCCTCCTCCTGTCTCCACTCACCACTGAAAAGAGTCCGGCCTCGCCGTTCTGCCCCCCACACCTCAGATATTGACAGACCTGGATCAGCTCCCCTCTCAGTCTCCTTTTCTCCAGGCTGAACAGACCCAGTTCACTCAGCCTTTCCTCATAGCAGAGATGCTCCAGGCCCCTCACCAAGAGGAGAGAGGTGAGCTCACGGCTGGGCCCACCTTGCTGCATCACCAACAGGTGAGGCTCCTGCTGGACCAGTGCTCGTGCAGAACCTCGTGGCTGGGATTCCTTTGGCCCCTCTGCTGTCGACCTCAGCACTGAGAGTGGGAATCTGAGCCTCGGCTCTGGGGGAAGCGTGCCCAACAGCCAGCCTTAGAGCTTGTGCTGCCATGCTCTGCAGCATTCCTGCAGGTGGAAACGGCAGCAGGGTTAGCTGTGACGTGTGGTTCTTGGCCTTCATGATGGTGGAAGATACGTTCTGGTCAGGGAGAAAGCTACAGGTGTGTGAGTGCATCTCAATGAACTCTTGTTGCCAGATCCTGAAATGGGAGAGTTTTCTGCAAGCTTTTGTCAAAGAGAGGGGCTCTGAACTGGATGAGGGAGCCTGCGGACAAATTATCTAGTTTTAGATAGGATCAATGAGCTTGCCACATTTTCTTGCTGCTTTCTCCTTTTTTGGTCTCTGATAACCCAGTTCCAGGAGGTGATCCCACTCCTTCTCCACCCGGTGATTCAGCAAGGGGAGAAAAATGTGTTCTGCAGCAGCTGCTCAAGCACAGAGGTGGGTGTTAGCGCTGGATCGCATCAGCCTGAGGAGCCAGAGAACAAATCATCCCCAGGAACGCGGGGAGGGCGGCCCTCATTCCGCACGGAGTCCCTGGTAGCCTCAGGGAAGCCATTTGATTTCAGTGAGTCAGTGCTGGGCTTTGGGCGAGGAGCAGCGCTGTCTTCATTCCTTCCTATTTGTGTGACCTATTTAGAGGTTCCTGTTAGAGGAAAGCTGCGTTTCACAAAATGTGTGTGAGTTTGGACGCAGGTTCCTGAGCTCTTTTGGAACAAACAAATGCTTTTGCCGTGCAGAAAAACATCCTGAAAGCAGCTGTGTGGTGGAACTGGGTCCATAAGAGCGGTGCTGCTGGTGGCTGCTGCAAAGGGAAGCCCCTGACGCTGTGGACTGCTTCAGCTGTGCAAAAGAGCTGTCGCTGACCTCTTAGGTTTTGGAGCAGCATCAGCTCATAATGGAGCTTTTCCTGCCAGCCAGCAGGGAGAGAAACAAGCTGAAAAGCACAAGAAGAAGTGAGAGGTAGCCAGGAGCCCGAAATGCTGCGATGAGCCAGCAGTGAGCCAGCAACAGCGAAGCTTTTGGTGCGCGTGTCAGTTTGTCCTGCCAGTCACACGCACGTTTCTCTCACTGCTGCTGAAGTGCTGATGGCAGGAAGATCCATTGTGCTCCTGAATCCAATTATTTTTCCCTTCTGCTGGCATGCAGAGCTTCCAGGAGTTGCTGCTAATAACTGTGCGTGGAGAAAGATGTTGTTTTAAATACTTCTAGGGGGCCTCTTGGCCCTTTACTGCCTTACCACAAGCAAAATATTGAGAAAGTTTGGGGAATGCGGCTCCTTCGGAGGGAGTGAAGCGGCGATGACCTCTTGCATAACTCAGAGCGTGTGGAAGTCTGGACAAATTACTCTGCGTGCCTCGCCGTGGATGTGCAGCACGTCGTGACTGCGTGCCGCAAAGAGGAGAGCCTGCTGAAGGTGTGTGTGTGTGTCTGGGCCTGGCTGTGCTCTCTGGGAGTCTGCACAACTCCGGAGTGCTGAGCAGAGGTGCAGCAAACACGCTGGGAAGACAAATCTCACAAACCCAGTGGCTGCTTCCAGGCACAGAGCAGCAACGTTCCCAGGGAAACACACGAAGGCAATAAAGATCTCAGTGCTGACTGCGGTAGCGTTCTGATTTTGTTCAGCTTTTGTTAGATGCCGTTTTGCTTCTCGCTCTGCTCTTCTGGCTCCGCTCCATTTGGCGAAGGTTTGCGACGTTGCCGTGCCAGAAGCAATATTGAGTGCAGATCAGCCCCTGTTCCAAGCAGAGCTATTGTCTCCGCAGCTCCAGCAGGTTCCTTTCCCGATGCTGAGAAGAGCAATCGGCAGCATCGCATCCCAGCGAGCTCTGCCTGTTCTGCTTTTCCTGTCTTTATCTCCCAGCGGTGTTTAAAAGTGCTTTTCTGAACTTAGCTCTCCTGCGTCTGCTCTCACTGAGGTCGTGCAAACAGTTCCAAGCAATCACGTGCTCCTTGTGGAGCCAGGGGCTGTGCTCAGGAGCAGGGATGTTTGCTGGGAGTGCAGGGAAAAGGAAGCTGTGCTGGAAGAGCAGTTCAAGTGCGTGCAATGCTTTTGCCCCGTGAACAGAACGTCCCCTCCCAAGTGCTTGTTGCAGGTGCAGGATCTGCTGCCAGAAGTCCCAGCCTCCTCCAGGGGCCGCGGTGCAGTGGTGAGCAGTTGTGAGCTGGAGTTGTTACACAGCTTCCTTCCCCTGATCGATGTTTGACTTCCAGCCTTCAGCTGAACTGCTGTGTGTTAATTTTTCCTAGCTTCTATTTTTAGATGAGCTGAAAACCCCCTCTCTTAACTTGTAGTCATTCACGTGCCTTATATTACCCAAAAGCTGCTATTTTTAAGCACTGTCAGTTTACGTTTTCATTGGTAAAGCTGCTTGGCTCAGCAGCAGAAGTTCTGAGAGCTACCCACATGAGATGCGTTGAGTTCTGCTTCCTAGAAGCAACTGAGAGCACTCTGGTTATTAACTGGGGAAACCAGAAGAGCTGTTGGCACCTTTTGTGGCTGGTGCTTTGGACGTGCTTTTGGCCTGATGGTTGGCTGGAGTTGTGAAACAAGCAGAGAGAAAAATGGGCAGGAGGAGAACGCTGGTCCGGGTTAAATCCTAGCTGGGCTGGCTCCTGCTTCCAGCTTTAGCTCTGATTTATTTGACCTGAAGTCATTATTTCCCATGTCCTGCCTGTTCTTGCAGCCTGGCCTTCTCCCCAGGTCACCGTGATGATGTTGTAATTCCAGCCTGTCCTTTTATTGCATCTTCTTCGCTCCTTTCCTCTTGCAGCTGCAGGATGGATGTGCAGCTCATCTCTGCTGGTGCTCCCATTGCACATTAAGCCGGCTGCAGCCCTCATCTCCCTTATTTTTTTGGTTCCGTGTCCAGCTATGTGCCTGGTTTTCATGCTCTCAAATATTCCCCCAGGTCGTCTGAACTGGTGGGCGAACGTGGATCCCAGCTGCCAGAGGCTGCTTCCCCTGGCCACCACGGGTGATGGGAACTGCCTGCTCCATGCTGCGTCCCTGGGTAAGAGCTTCACCGAGGGCATGGCCGGGCAAGCAGCTCAGTGATTCCCTCCAGCAGCCTCCCCTCTTTACCCCAGCCGCTTTCTGCTGTCAGCTCAAACAGCTGGAGGTGGAAGGAGAGCCCAGGCACCCTGTCTGCCTCCGGGACGAGCAGCACCGCGTGCCCATCTGTCCCTGTGGGATGCCGCGGTCTGGCTGCTCGCCCCAGGCAGGCAGCAGTGGATGTGCAGGGCTGGTGAGGAGAGCTGGAGCCGAGGGAAGCGAGCTGCCAAGTGCTTGTGTACTTCTAAATCTGTTCTCGCTGGGCTGGGCCTCGCCTCTTCCCTTTGGCAAGTTTCCCCGTGTTTCTGAAGGAAATGTGAAATAACAGAGCCGCCCAGTTCTCCGGAGGTGGCTGAGCAGAGCAGTTCCAAGAGCCCAGTTTTGCTCCTGTGAGTTCACCTCGTGACAAATTTTTGAGGTTTCCAGACTTCGAAATGAGTGGCCTTGTGTATTTGTGCGGCTGGCTCTGTTCAGACGCAGCGAAGCCACAGCTCATTTCACCTGGTCTGCATTTTCCCTCGACGGAGCAGCCTAGCGTTGGTGGAAGGCACCATGTGCTCACGGGTTTGGGGGAGAGTCCTTGTAGCTGGAGTCCTTACAGCTTCTGGTCATGGCTGTCTGAAAGCTGGCCGTGGATGGGATGTGGGTTTGAGCAGGGAGTTTGTGGACCCGGCTGTTTGGGTTGGCCCTGCTCAACTTGCATCGCTCTGCCTTCGTTTCCCGTTGTACCACTTGCCCTGCTTTGTGGCACGCTGTAGGACTTAAGCTTACACTGATTATGTAGCAGAGGGTGGAGAAGTGCCAGTTCTTGCTAATCCCCCTGTGTTTTTCCTTCCCTCCATGCAGGTATGTGGGGTTTCCACGATAGAGATCTCGTGCTTCGCAAATCCCTTTATGCCTTAATGGATAAAGGTGTGGAAAGGGAAGCCCTGAAGCGGCGCTGGCGTTGGCAGCAGACGCAGCAGAACAAGGAGGTAGGAACCAGACTGAATGTAGCCTGGGAGCAGAGTGCAAAATCCTGATCAGATGTCCCATAGGTTTGGGAGGAAAAACAAATGTCTGCAGTTTTAGGCAAGTCCGCAGCTAGCGCCAAGATGAGAAATATCCTTCAACATAAAGTCTGGCTGTGAAACTTGGGTGAAATTCCCTGTGTTACAGAGTAGGAAAATTCCTTTATTAGAGCCGTGTTGTGTCCAGCATGGATGGAAAACAAACGTTGCCACAGGCTGAAGATGCAGCCTTGCTGGGCTGCCTGGCAGCAGGATGCGATGTGTAAGAACTGCTCCTGTGGGAGGGGGTCAGAAAGATGCACCGCAGCTGAAGCCAAAAAGGAAATCATGAACTTGCCACACTGAAGGCTTCAAAGCTGTGACGTGCTCAGCCCCCACCCCAAAAGCAGGGACCAGCCTTTGTCAAGGTGGAAAGTTACCACATGTCTTCAAATGGAGCTCTATTTTTGTTTGTGAGCAGGGTAAACTTTGGTTTCCACCTGACACTGAAGGATGTTGTTTACTTTCCAGCTTCCTTTTTGTTTTTGGAAGGGCACAAAGATTAATATCTTGACGGTTTGATTAAAAAAAAAGTGTATTTCACTGTTTGAAACAGAGTGGTAATAAATAGTGGAGGTTTTACTGCTATTGAAAGCATGCTTCTGGGCATCTCTTTAATCTGCATGCTCAAGGCTGTCTCCAGAGCTAGCTAACAACAGAGTCCTGTCACTTGTAGATCTTCCTTGAGAATGTTGGTGCTGCAGGACCTTGGTGGCGCCATTCCCTTGTCACATCCCCAGCAGAAGCATCTGGGGACAGCAGCGGGCAGAGGAGATGCGTGCAGCCAGGTGGAGCAGCCCTGGTTCCATCAGTGGTGATGAGGAGACGGTTGGACTAAGTGATCTTGTAGGTGGTTTCCAACCTTGTGATTCTATGATCGGTGCTGCAGGCACTGCTGGGCTCGTCCCTTCCAGAGCAGCTCCAGAAGATGCAGCCCAGCGATGGAAAGCACTCTGACTTACACAGCTCGCTCTGGGTGGAACATCCTCCTTTGTTTTGCTTTAGATGGGTGATGGAAGAATTCATAGCAAAAGCTTAACCAGGAGCAGAGAAACTTAATTAATACTTCACTGAGCAAACGGAGCTGGCTGAACTGTCAGTTACTCCTGGTTCGTGGTATGAAGGTTTCCTTGGTGGCTCAGAAGGTTTAGGATGTTGTGTTTGGAGGCTGGAGCTCTGATTTTTGGAGCCCAGGAAAGCAGGAGGAGAGGAGGGCTGCTGCACTTGCTGGGGCGTTTCTTGGTGCTTTTCCTTAGGACCTTGAACACAGCAGGCTCCAGCGTAGCTTTTGGCTTGGTCCATTTCAGGTCGTTTCCCATTTTGCTCAGGGTTCGTGTGCTGTCTGATACCTTTCAACTCCTGGATGTGTTGGAAGCTCTGTGAAAAGCTGCTGTGTTAGAAGAGCTGTGGTCCCCAAACCGAATTCTTACTGCAGGCTTTTAGGGTTAGGATGGCTGTAGGAAGGGCAGCGTGTTCTGTACGTGTGCTGCTGTGGATGGACCGTGTCTTCAGAGCACTGCAGGTCTGTGAGGCTGTGCCATACGTGGGCTTTCCTTGCAGTGCCACTGCCTTCAGTGCAGGATCAGAGTAAGAGTAAAGCTTTCCTCTCGTTCTGTGGATCAAAATGTTGATTTCCACCCCACAAACACTCCAGGTCTTCATCGGAGGCCGATTGTCTCCCTGTGAGAACACTGATTTGGGAAACGCGTGCATTTTTGCGTGACGAATTGATGATTTTTACATCAACCCAAAGAGAGGCGCTGCGGCCGCGTGTACAAAACTGCAGAAACTGGAAAGGAAAAAAAAGTTAGTCTGAGGGTTTTGTCCTCTTTGCCTTTTTCAGTCCGGTCTGGTTTACACCGAGGAGGAGTGGCAGAAGGAGTGGAATGAGCTGATCAAGTTGGCCTCCAGCGAACCTCGCGTGCACTACGGCACCAATGGAGGCGGCTGCGGAGGGTAGGTGGAGCAGGACAGAGCTGAACGCTGATCTCCCATCTTTTATCATCTCCGTGGCCCCAAAATGAGAGTGAAAAACAAAAAACGAGGATTTCAGCAGCGTTCTGTGCCCCTCCGTGTTGCAAGGGCACTTGATTGCTGCAGGCATCCCAAACTAACGCCGCTCTGAGGCTCCAAGAAGCGCCAAGTAACGCGATGGTGTTTCCTGGAAACAAACCCTTGTCGTAGAAAAGGAATTGGTTTTGATCTATGTCTAAAATCTGAGATCAGAAAATGAAACCTGACAGGCAACTGCAGCGAAACAGTGTCAGAATCTCTTGCTGTCATTAAAAGCAATGAGCGGAGGAGCAGGGGATGAAAAATGATTGATTTCTTGTTTCTGAAAGTGTTGAAAGCTCCGAGGAACCCGTGTATGAGAGCCTGGAGGAGTTCCACGTTTTTGTGCTTGCCCATGTGTTGAAAAGGCCCATCGTGGTGGTGGCAGACACGATGCTGCGAGACTCAGGGGGAGAAGGTAGGAATGGCACTCCTGGTTCTTCTTCTGCGCGCGCTCGTTCCGTGCGTTTTCCCTTGGCTCCATGTGGTTCCTGGGCACTTTGTGCCCGATGAAGCTGCATCTCCAATCTGACAGCAGAGCACAGGGGGGGCTGAGCTTCTGTAGCTGCCGTGGGTGATTCCAGGGGAGGGTGTGAGGCGTGCAGACATCACAGCCTGTCCTGTCGCCTTTTCATTATGTTTTTCTACCTTTTCTGCCCCTGCACATGTGGGCGTACAGAAGGGAAATTCCGTTCCCTGCATGTAGCATTTTCCACTGGCAGAGTTAATTTCCTGTCAGAGAAGATTAATCAATTACCATCGTTCTGGGTGCAAACTTAATTGTTTCTTTTGTGGAGGAGCGAAGAAGGGCTTTCATAGAAAACACAGATTCATTTGGTACCTGTTTTTCTCCTGGTGTGAAATGAATGTCTGCCTTGGGGGTTTTTTGTCCCTCAAGTTGACAGAAAATCTCAGGTAAAACCTCGAAGTGAAACAAACAGTGTTCTGGAGCACTTTCAGTATAAACAACTCTTCCCTCTTTAACCTGTCTTGAAAACTGATCAGCCCGATTTCTTTCCAGCCTTTGCCCCTATTCCCTTTGGAGGTATCTACCTTCCCCTGGAAGTTCCAGCCAACAAATGCCACCGCTCTCCGTTGGTACTGGCATACGACCAAGCCCATTTCTCTGCCCTGGTATCCATGGAGCAGAAGGAGTCCACGAAAGATCAAGGTGTGTGATAAACGAGCGCCGTGAGTTGCGGTCGCAGAGCTGCGTGTGCTTTGGGTGACAGCAGAGGCCATCAGAGCTGACGCTGTTGTTGGTGAGCCCTCGCAGCCTGGCTGCCAGCACCGTGGCGCAGGGCTCAGGGAGGCTGCAGGGGAGCTGGATTCACCTGGGCTGTGTGCTGGAGGTGGATGCAGCTCTGTGTCAGCTGCAGTTCTGGGGACCGAGGAGATGCAGCACGGAGGCGGCAGGCTCTGTCTCTGTGCCAAATCCCGTCCTCTCGGGCGCTGAGGGCCTTTCTGTTCTCTTCCTTGCGCAGCTGTGATCCCCCTGACAGACTCTGAGCATAAGCTGCTCCCCGTGCACTTTGCAGTGGATCCTGGGAAGGACTGGCAGTGGGGAAAGGATGACGGTGACAACGTCAAGCTGGCCAGGTTGGCGATGGGGCACGGAGTGGCTGCAGTGCGGCCCTTCCTCGGTTATGCTCACAAACACGGGGGGTTCTGTAGAACATTCTGGGTGGGACGATGACATCTCGCCAGCTTCCCTGTCCAGGGTAAGAGGTGATTGCTCCGAATGCTGTGTGGAGGTGCAGATCAGGCTTAGATCGTACCTGAGAAGCAAAGGAGGAGCAGCTGCTGTAGCCTGTATTGCAGACATGAGAAAGGTGTATTTTTCCATTCCCGTGCCCCCCCCGTTTAAGAAGGCAAATACCTTCCACTGGAGTCGGAGGACAGCCTGCAGGCAGCCCCAGCCTATTTTGGGCTCAGGCTGTGGGCAAGCCCTGTCATCATTCAGGAGGAGCAAATTTCCTGTTGGTGAGCCAGAAATCACCAGCAGTGGCATCGTGGTGGGAGAGCTGGGGCATGACTTGCCCGTCATTTGGGTTAGGAAGTGTAGAAACCTCCGAGGTCAGAGTATTCAGGCTCAGGGAAGGCTTAAGAGACACAGATGTCTCCTCGGAGGGATTCTGAGCCAATAGGAAATACCTGTGTTTTTAGTGGGGAAAAAATCTGCAAGTGGAAATTGTTGAGAAAACATCTTTACTTTTTTTATTCTTTATTTTTAAGAGGAAAATCATTTTGAAAGGAGCTCTAATTAGATCTGTGATGTCTGCTGTCTTGTTATTTGTCTCACATGCAAGTAAGGATTGCTGGCCAAGTTGGTTGTAACTCGTAGAAAACTCAATTCAGAAGTCTCCTCGCATACTTGTTTTGGCTTTAATTGAAAGGTTTGGGAGACTTCTAAAAACGTTGGCTTTTGTGTTGCTGTTGTCTTGGTTGTTTCTAACTGATCTATGAAAATGCATTAAAACAGACAACTGAAGGTGGAAAAAAGAACCTTTGTCGTAGAGTGAAACGGGCTGTGACTCTTCTGCTTTACATTTCAGCGTGACGCTCTCGTTGGAAGCAAAGCTGCACTTGCTGCACAGCTACATGAATGTTAAATGGATCACGTTGCCTTGTGACATGCAGGTAAGAGATGAGGAGCGTTTCCTTTGCTGAATTATTTACGCTTCCCTTCTGCAGGGCTGCAGAGGTGGAATCGTCCCCGGCTTCACGTGAGGCTCTGCGCTCTGTTCTGCGCTGCAGCTTTGTTGCTCTGGGCAGATGAGCCACCCGTGTTTTGGTGCACGCTTTTTTTGCAGAGCTTTTCGAGCCTGTTTTTACCCTTCACGCCAACGTGAGGCCGCCCCGCTGCGCATCCTGCTGTGTGCGTTTGGCAGCGCCGGCGGCTGCTGCTTGTTCCAAGACAAACACTGAGCGTTGGTTTACAGCCGCCAGAAGCTGCCCTGAGGGTCACGGTGTGACTGGAGCTTTCCTGGGACCTTACGTTGGCTCATAGAGTTCTGAAAACTTCCATCTGTTTCCAACATCTCGGTGGTGATGCGGCGCCGGACCGCGGCAGCTGCCCCGGCGGTGGGGATGTCCCCAGGCTGCCGAGCGTGGAGGAGGTTTCTTGCTTTTCTCCTTTTCCTCCTGTCTCCTCTTTCGGCAAAAATTCCCTGGACTTCCTCGTGAGCTGTTCTGATCACAGCCGCTCTGATCTGCCTGAAGCTGTAAAGGCGTCACTGCAGCACAGCTCGAGTGGTGACGTTTGGTCGCTCTTTGCTGCAGCATCTCTGATATGCAGTAGCTCCGGATCTGAGAGCCGCCACTCGTCCCCTCCGTTCTCCTGGCACATGCCTGCGTCTCTGCTTCACCTTCAGCCTGAAAAATCTTGTCTGAGCAGCTCAGTGACTTGCTATGTGTTTTCTTTCTCCCAGGCGCCTTTGGCCCAGCCGGAATCCCCCACAGCCTCAGCAGGGGACGATGCCCGTTCAGCTGCGGAGTCAGGAGAGTCAGACAAGGAGTCAGTCTGCAGCAGCTCAGCAAGCAATGGGGGCAGCAGGGGCTGCAAGGACAAAGAGAAACCAAAGAAAGACCGAGAAAAGGACAAGGAAAAGGATAAGAAACGGGCCGACTCGGTTGCCAATAAGCTGGGCAGCTTTGGCAAGACTTTGGGAAGTAAGCTAAAAAAGAACATGGGTGGGTTGATGCACAGCAAAACTATCAAGGGAGGTGTGAGCAACGGGCAGGGGGACACCCTGGAGAAGAAGAAAAAGGGATCCTTGAAGACGAGGAAAGGCAGCAAGGAGGAATCCTCCCAGGGAGACCTTTCGGTTCCTGGGGAGAAAAGCTGCGTGGGTAAAGCAGCCTCCGAGAAGCCCTCAGACCCCTACAAGTACAGCAACGACGTGCGGCTGAGCCTCAGCATCCTGCGCGCTGCCATGCAGGGCGAGCGCAAGTTCATCTTCGCCGGCCACCTGAAGACCGGCCACCGGCACCAGTACCAGGAGGAGATGATCCAGCAGTACCTCCTGGATGCTGAGGAGCGCTTCCTGGCCGAGCAGAAGCAAAAGGAGGCGGAGAAGAAGGCGCTGGGGAGCGCCGCCGCCCCTGCCAAGAAGCTAGAGGTGGAGGTGAGGGGCAAAGAAGCCCTGCACGGCCCCGTGTACCCCCAGCCCCCCCCGGCCTACGCCATCCACACCCCGGATTTGGCCATCGGCGCTAAAATGGCCGCGTTTCCCTCCAGCTACTCAGGCGTCTTCACCTTCCCCAGGCCCTCCGTGGTCAGCGGCAGTGCAGAAGGCTCGCACCCCCCCAGCTACCACGAGGGTCGGCGGCAGGTGGCGGGGGGCTCCTGCAGCGGCCTCCCCCCCTACGCCACCCTGCCCCGGCACTGCGCTCAGGTGCGGCCGCAGCCTTCCCACGTGGGGAGGTTCTCCCCCACGGACACGGACGTTCAGCCCAGCTTCCCCACGGAGTGCGAGGCCCCTGCCTGCGTTCCCCCCCAGCACAGCAACGGTTACCGGGAGTACGTGGAGCAGGACGGCCCGCAGAAGGGAGCACCCGTGGACAAGACGAGAGGCAGGGTTCTTTATGGCGTTCAGCAGACCAAATGCAAGCAGCCAAACTGCAGCTTTTACGGGCACCCAGAAACCGGGAATTTCTGCTCCTGCTGTTACAAAGAGGAGCTGAAACGTAAAGAGCGCGAGGCGCTGGTGCACAGGTTCTGAGCGCTGCCAGGGCCGGACCTGCAGCACGTGAGGAATGCAATAATGTGTGGTTTGTCCCCGCGCTGCTCCTCTCGCTGGCTGGAAGGAGGGAGGGGGCTGACAGCGGCGTTCAGCTCTGCGCTGCGGAGGAGATGCGGGTGAGGGGCTGGGAGGAGCGGTGCCTCCCTGCAGAGACTCGGGCAGAGGGGCTCATCCTGCCTGGATGGGGTCGGCGCAGGGGCGAGCTCAGGTGGGAGCTGGGGGCGGAAGGGGGGTCCAGCGATCCGTATCCCAGACCAAAGCTTTCAGCTGGACCCTGACGCCGCCCCGCTCCAATAGTGCTTCCCAGAACGGAGCGGAATGCCCCACGATCCCAGTGAGGAAGTCGCAGACCTTTCAACGGAGAGATTTTTGTTGTTTTTTTTTTTAACACTTTATTATTATTTTTTTTTTTCCTGGTACCGAGAGAAAAGTAGTTGGAACGGGACGTTGTTGTTTTGTTTCGGTGGGACCGAGCCCGTCGGATGTCTCAGCGCCTTCAGCTCCATGGGGGCTCTGCCCTCCCCCCCGCGGGCTCGGCTCTGGTTTTTAAATACTGTTTTTTAAGCTCTTCAGGAGGGCGGGAGGAGGACCGAGGGTTGGTCTCAGCGCTGAGCGGTGTTGAGTTTTCCTGCAGCAGAGCCGTTCTGTTGGCGGCACAGAGATGACAGAAGGCAGGTCGGTGCCCCCACCAGCAAAACCTCCGGCGTGGAGCAGGAGAGAGGACAGAGCCCTGCAGCACGGGAGGTAACGCCGCGCCGCCCTTAGCTTCCAGCCCCACGTGGATACGCGCGATAACTTTCTACTTGAGCAAGCTACTTCCATACTACCTCTGTTCTGCTGAATAGAATTAACTCGGCTCCATTTTGCTGAGCCACGTAACTGACCTTTAGGCTGAGTAATACGAGAGATATTTTTGATAACAGGGCTAAAGAGCGAGGCGTAAGGAAGGCGAACCCGTAACTGCGTCACTCACAGCCACGCGGCCGCGGCGCTCCCCGCTCGGCCCTGCGGTCGCGGCGTTCACGTCTCGCAGGGGGGGCTGTGATTCAGCACTGCGATGTTTGCACAGATATATTTTTTGTTGTTTTTGTAATTAGGGATCCCAAACCGGGCTCCATCCTCGGCCCAGTCCTGTATAGAGCGAGGTTCAGCATTTTACCACGTGGAAATAAAAGATGAGTTCTGCCAGTAACTCAAAAGCTTTACAACATTCCCTTGTTGTTTCTCAGAAGGCACCCAACTATGCAATCCCTCCCCGTGCTGCTGCGGGGAGAACCGGGCAAGTGTGCTTACCTGGAGCATCGCTCACAGCCTTACTCACAGCTCGCGGTTCTGACAGCAGATTCTGCCTGTTTCATGTCTGAAACCCCACAGAATTTAGGGCCTTTGCCCCGGAGGCGGCCGGCTGCACCGTGCTGCTGTGCTGCAGGGCGCCCCGGGCTCAGCTGGCTGTAAATAGCAGAGTTCTTTCACTGGTTTCACTCACTGAAGTTGGTTTTGCTTTTCCTACCGCTGCTGATCTGAGTGCAGGGCGGCCGTGAGCCATCGCAGGTAACGGCATGGCCAGTGGGGTCTCATGCAGGGGGCTCAGCTCCCGGCCCATGGGAACGGCACAGGTCAGTGCAGGGGGCTGCTGGGCTCTCATTGCAGCGTGAAGCTCTGCGCTCCCTGCCCCAACCGTGGGCAGTGCAGGACAGGGGGGAAGGCAAATCCCACTGCTGCCCCGTGGCCACAGTTTGGGGGAAACGTCTCCATTTCAGAGCCTCCCACAGTGGGCTGAGCTTTGGGCTCTGGGTTCGGCGCCGCTCCGTGTTTGCTGATAGCAAAGTGCTGTGAGGGGAGAAGCGTAGGAGAGCAGCGGTTGGATGGACGCGTGCAGCCACATCGGCTTATGGAGGAAACAAACCGACCCTATGGCTGCGGAGCTGCTGGTGCGGCTCCCAACAGAAAACCATCTCCTACCCCATGTGGAGCTGCTGCCACTGCTTCTCCTCCTGAGGGCTTTGGGGGAGAAAAGGGCTTTTGGAGGAGTGCTGTGTCCCCGCAGTGTTCCTGGGGGAGAGGAGAAAGGGGGGCTGAGGGCTGCGACCCCCCTGCTGGGCCGTGGGTGCAGTTTCCCATTGTGGGGTTTTTGCAGGCGCAGCAGTGGGGCAGCAGCTTCCCCGCCTGCTCTGCCCTCCGTGCTGTGGGTGGTGGGGTTTGTAGCTTTTTTACACACAAAATTGGGGAGGAAAAACAAACCAACAAACAAAGCTTTAGGCAAAATGAGGTTTCCAGTGAAGTGAGCGGCAGGGTATTTTTTTCTATGAAGCGGGGACCCTAAGCATCGCCGGCCCTCACAGCTGCACCCGAGGGCGATGGCCGCATTTCTTCGGGATTTTTTCAGCTCCTTTTTGTTTCCTTTATGGTGAAACGGCAATTCTGTTTTGTTTTAAAGGGATCCCTCAATACAAATCCTATTTACTGCAAAGATCTTCACCATCCACCGCTTCCTTCCCGGGGCCGCGCTGCAGCCCAGCTCAGGCGCCCGTCTTTATGAGCGGGGCTGAAGGGAGAGCAGCTCATCTCCAACGCGCCTCTCCTGGGGGAAAGCACCAAGCCGCTTCCTGGGATGGGGACGGGGCGGCCGCCGCGATGCCCAGGGCTTCAGGTGCACTTCTTGGGGTGGTGGGAGGAGTGCTGGGTGCCCCCCGCTTTGTCCCACCTGCAGGCTGAGCCCCAGTTCGGCCCCACGCGTCCATGGCTGGGTTGGAGGCTGCGGCACAAGAGGTGACCTGAATGAACTCCGCAGATCTGGACAAAACGCTTTTCTTTTCCAATTTCTATTGCAATTATGGGGTTGGTGACCTTCCCCCCCCCCCCCCCCTTCACCCCCCCCCCCCCAAACAAGCTGTACCAGCACTGGATGGCGCATTGTATCGGGCTGTACCCACTCCTGCTTCCATGGCCTCACTGACAATAAACGCTCTTCCTCACGCCCGCCTCGTTCCTGCGCCGTGGGCTGAGCCTCCCCAGCTCTGGGCTTGTGGGTCTGAGCGGATTTTCCTCCCATTCATTTGAGATTTCCCTCTGCTGGGTACCAAAGGCCGCTCTCAAAGAGAATTCACTGCCGTCTCTCTCCATCTCGGCCTTTTAGGGGACCCTTTTCCCCAGGCACTGCTGGATGGATGCTCAGAGCGCAGCACAGACACAACCCAGCCCCATGAAACACTGAAACGGAGGCAGGAGGAGAAAGGGGCGGCTGCAGCCCCACAGCCCTGTGGGGTGAACCTGTTTGGGGTCAGATCCCAAAAGCCCCCGCAGAACCTGGACTGGGAGCTGCTCCCCTGTGCTGCACCGCGTCGGTATCCCAGGCTGACCCCGGCTTTGGCATCTGGCCCTGGCTGAGGGCCTGCAGGAAATTCCTCCCGTCTGCTCAGCACTGCAGCCCCAGCCCCAGCAGGGCCCCGGGTGCCGTATTCCTACAGGTGCAGTATTGGGGATGGCCTGAGATGCGCAGCTGTGACTCCTGGGGTCCATCGTGGGAGTCTTCAAAAGGCTGTGGGCCAAAAAAGAGTGGGGG